TTCCTTCGTTACTTTATTCTCATGCAAATATTTCTGGACCTGTGTGGAGCCCTACAGATAGTGTGGCCCTGCAGACTGGCTTGGTGCTTGATCCAGCCCACAGAGAAGCCACATGCCACTCATCTATCCCCTGGGTTAAAGGACTCTCAAGGAAGGAAGGATATGTGGGTTTGATTTGCAGAGGAAGGAACTGAAGCTGCATCTCTTCTATCCTATGTGAGTGCTCTAACCCATGAGTGAATGGGTAGCGGGGGATATAACATTGCCTCCTTTCAAAGAGAGGACTCTTTGAAAGAAAGGGCTGAAAGGTCTGGTGTACCAGTTTCCAGGTGGGGCTTCAAGGCTGTGAATCCCGAGTGAATGGAGTCCAGAGTAGGGTTCTGAAGCCGTGAAGAGGAGTATGCCTTAAACACACTCCTGTCCTCCATCTTCCTTCATGACTAAACTAAGGGACTCCTTTCTTAACCTGCTTGCTTTTGTGAATCTTGTTTTGTTTTTATTCTCTCCATTGTATAAGCAGCCTGGGTGCCTAACTCAAAGCTATGGATTGTACCATTATTTAAGTCCGTTTTGAACATAATATTGCCAGTCCCCAGCCATTTCACGATTACAGGTCTGGCCTCAAAAATGCATAAAACTGTGGGACGTGGGTTCTGGTCATCTGTCCTCTGGTTTCAGGAATATTTAGAGACCACTATTTTTCACCTGGATGCTCCAAAGCAAATAAACGAAAAAAATCTTCGGCCTTTTCTTCTTCTTTAACCAAAACATGAAATTTCCACGTAACGTATCACAAAAAAAGCTTGAGACTTTAATAAGAATGCCATATATCACAAAATAAATACGTGATGGAAACACCAGAGTCCAGGTGTTTTGACATTCACTCACTAGGAGCTTAAATTTGAAACTTTTTTTTATGGAAATGAATACGTATGGTTAGTGATCATGAGTGTCAAAACCCCAAGGTACAGGACTTATTTTTTGGATTGCCGTGTGAATCCATGTATATTGCAGGATATGAAACCATTTTTTATCATGAAGCTAATTTGGCTTTCAAGACTACACATTTCTGCATGTAGTAAGACTTGAGCACCAGTAACAAGCCACTAATGAACCTGTAGCTGTTTCATTTACAAAATGAGATGCTTCTTAGCTGTGGGTGAAAATCAGGGTAATTCAGACATCTGAGTAGATTTTAATTGGGCTCTGATTACTCGCATTACAAGCACCTGGTCACACTTTGTACCATGGCTGAAGAGAGTGGTTTCAAAAACAGTAACTAGCCATACCACCCAACTCTTTTCAGTTTGTTGGCCTCAGCCTGCAGTTGGTATCTTAGTGTCTTTATATATCTGGAAAATGAGGTGAAAGAGATTCTGGAGTGAGAATTTATGAATCTCATTACAGTAATAACATTGGTGGAGGCCAGGATGCTAAAAATATCTAGGTTTTACAGTTTTATAATTTGAAATACTCTTGTGGTGTTAGCCTCCAATACTTTAAAAAAAAAAAACTATACAAAGCCAAAATTCTACAAAACTACAATCACAAGAAGCCCCCCAAAACCAACAATTTATTTCAGGTGATTTGCTTTCTAGTGTGTGAGCCTGTACAATTTACACTTCCAAGCATTTGGCATAATCACGAGGGCTAGATTGTTGTTGTTGTTGTTGTTAATCAAATAGTAAGATTCTTATAATCATGTTTTCTTGAGGTAGAGCTTTTAAAAAAGCCTTTTTTTTTTTTTTTTATGTTCATC